CATCCTTAGTACAAAGTAATTGATGTATTTTTTCTTAGTATAATCTTTAAGATAATATAGGTAAGATTATAAAATAGTAAACTCAAACATATAATATCCCAGCCAGGTCTAATCCCAATGATTTTGAAATTGTGTCTACAATCGACGCAGATATATATATGGGCCAGAAGGCGCCTTCTAGTGGTCTAACCCTAACACTACCCCAGACCTAAACCTACCCATAACCGAAGCATCTTAAAAAGTGTCACCTATTTGAAGCCCTGAGATGAGAATCCGTTGAATATCCACGTCATTTTAAGGTAATATATAGATTCTAAAATATAAAGGTATTTAAAATAAGGTTCATTATAACATTAGTTAACTACATTAGTTAGCATTAACTAATAATGAACTGCACTTAATCAGCATTTATTAATCTCTGTCAATGGTCATTTAAATTTGTAATTTCATTAGCTAAAAACTTTTACAAATTTGTTAACATTAGTTAATGCACTGTGAACAAACAGAGTAACAAATGTATTGTTCATGGTTAGCTTATGTTAGTTAATTAAAACATTAATTAACTAATGTTAACTAATGAACCTTACTGTAAAGTATTGCCACTCAAAAATTGAATCTCCATACATTTAGTGATTTGTTGAGTATAGCCATGTAAACACGATGAAACACATTATATAATATCTCACACTGTAGGTGTGACTATATGTGCCCAGGTGACTATCCTTGTGAAGTCAAGTGAATATTTTATTTGAATTTTACTTCCTTAATGCGTTGCCAGTGCCACCCAGTGAAATCATCAGAACGTTAAACCATGTTCTCTTTTATGTGAACCTGTCAGGGCTGAAGTGAACTCATAAGGGCCGCTCTTACTGATCTGGGAGCAGTTTGCTTTGATACTGCTCACTGGGTTGTCAGCAGAGTGTGTCAGGCTTCTGTCTGCTCCCTCACAGCCACTGTTTGCTTCAATTGACTTCAAACCAGCTAGTCCAAAAATACAAAATGCGCACAAGACAAACAAGCCAAGAAAAAGACAGAAGGGCAAGGAGACTGTTTCAAAAGACCCGCTGTCATGCTATTCCCCATGCTGTGTAAGCTCTCTAAAAAGCTGTCTAACCTGTACAATACTATGTGCCAACTCTGTCAATATGCAAAAATATTTAATTTAGTGATATATGAGCAACCACGAAGAAAAAAAAAAATCACATTGTGATGACCATTAAATTAAAAATCTGAACTTACTATGAGTTTTTCTCTGGAACTGGATAAACTCTTGAAATATCTGACAGCACTGAAACGTTTCTCCCCCATTATTAGGAAAGTGTTGCAGGAATGTTATACTGTGCCTCCAGCAATGATGAGGAGGTAAGAATAGTTGACACACTTTTGCGAAGTCTGATGGTTTTCTCTAGAGGGACACTGGGACATCTCGCACACACACAGACCTCTTTTTCCCCCGGTCTGTTTGCCCGTGTGAGTGGGGAAGATCTCATTAGACCTTGATAACTGGGCATCCTGGCAAATAATGTATACAGGTGCGCGTGTGAACGTTAACTCGCTTTCATCAGGAGTATTTCTGTTCACTCAGTTCTAGGTGAATGCATATTCCATTAATATTAATACACTCATTTGCGTGCCTGAGTGGGACCCAATATGGCATCAACCATTTAATAATTAATTGGAGTTTCTGCATATTCATGAGTATATCATTCCAAAGCACAAGGTTTTGGAAGCCAACAGATGCCACTGAGATGTTTAGCTCTTAATTCAGGCCACTGAGATAAATTGTCCAATTTCTGTTAATGAGTTGATTTGCCCGAACGGTAGCTACAGTACAAACCAAAAGGACGAGATGAGAGAGAGAGCGAGAGTGAAAGGGACTGCACGAGTCTCTGGAATATCAAAGTCTTATTAGAGCTTGAAATGACGGTTTGAAATGTGACTGGCAGCTTGACATACTGGAGTTGCCATGGTGACAGAGAACAAGACAGAGGCCGATTCTTTTGAGTAATCACTCACGAGGGGTGTTTAATTAAAGTGACAGATTTCTGTAAAATATTAAAAGAGGGATGTGATTCATTTAAGATTCTCGCCAGCCAGTTTGAGTCACGGAGGTGACACGGACAAGAAAATATCTTGCTGTTTGATTCGTTGGTCCTGGACCAATTCCTGAACTTCAAACATCCCAGTCGGGATTCTGGCAAAAAAAAAAAAAAAGAAAAAAAAGGCAAAGAAAAAAATAGTGTTCCGTCAGGCTGGGGTAGTCCAGACTGCATTCGCTTACTTTGATGTGATCCCCAAAACTTGCATATGCCGAGAGAATGTGTGTGTAACTCTTCCAAGAGTCATGCTGTGGGCTCTTGGCTCCGTGTTCGGGCTGATTAAATGATGATCGGAGAGTTTTAACACTTAGGCTTGCGCTGCTTCTGCTGCTGTATCGTTCTCTGAAGCCAATTAAAACAAAGCAGCAGATAATTACTCCCCCCATGAGCTTTAATACCAGGGTGTGCGAGAATGCTGATTAACTGCCCGAGAAACAACCCTGAGTGTGAGTGCGTGCTTGTGAGATGTTATCCTCTTTGTTCCTTGCGTATTGCAGCATTATTGGTGTGAAAATAATGGGGATCTTCATTTGGTTATGAGGTGTGCTGTGGAGGCACTGCTACGGTACTTTGTTCTCTCGCTCCCTTTCCTGCACTTCCTAAGCTGATGGAAAACATTTATTACCTGTTGTTCAGGAATGCTCTCTCCATGTTCAAGCACATGTGCAGGCTTATTCAATAAGCCAGTCATAGGTATTTTATGCACTCCCTGAACCCTAATTAGATTCAGGATTACATCCTCGTCCCCATGAGGAAAGAACATTGGATTTTACAGAGAACATCATAACTACTTCTATGATCGCTCAGTCTTGATTAAGTCCCCAGATACCAGCCATCAAAATAGCCTTACATGTGCTTTTGCACAGCAGAAACTTCATGACTGGCATATATCACAGTAAGGGTTTTTGGATCGTCATGCAGGCATGATGCCCATTGTCACTAAATATTCCCAGTGATTTTGGCTTGACACCTTCTCTGGTTGTAGGAAGTTTGATTTTGATTAAAAAAATAGTTTAAATTCTATATAATTAACATTAAATTCTAAATAATTAAAATTCTATCACATTAATTTCTCAACTTTGTGATGTTCCAAACCTTTATAATAAGAATGCAAATTATCGATTAATTCATTAATCATTAGTTGATCAACCTTATCGATCGATTAACGATTAACTGATAAGCGCCTATTTTCCCGAGAATGTAAATTTCTCACGGTATCAATTTAACATAAAAAGCTAAATATTGCTTAGACTGAATAAAAATGCATGTTATATTGCTTAATTGATTTTTTATTGTTTTTAAAATTTGGGATACGTCACAGAATAATGGCGTGTTGCATGTGAAACATTAAGCAACATAAAATCAATTTTAAATAAAAATCTAAATGGGTAGGCTTATCCTATATTAAGCCTACATATAATAATCTATCTAGTAAACTACGTATATAAATAACTTGAAACATTAGCAGCAGCACTTATAATATAGGCTGAGGGGGATGTCAAATGTACAGCTTGTAATGAGTGGAAATAAGGTGTGGCCCCTTTAAGAGCTGCGTGCTCCCTGTTGAACTATCGGCAGTATTCTATTGTATGTGCCGTGCGTCGCGAACACCCCTTTTGCTGTCTTTGTTGAAGTTAACACACCATGTATGAAAGTGTGACAAACAGTTAGGCTTGTTTACCGGGAAAAATAACAAACTGGGAGGGGTCCGGGAGATAGGGCTAAAAAAAACGTGAGAAACCTGGGAAAACGGGAGTGTTGACAGGTATGAGCTTAGTTATTGTTAGAATACAGCTGGATTTTCGAGGTTAGCACACTGTATAGCTGCCCAGCTGGTAGTCAATATCGATGCACTCCACTCGTTCAATTAGCCGACAATTAATTTCATTTTATCAAGTAAATTCTTGTCGACAATTAATCGATTAACCGTTTGTATCCCTACTTTATGATGTTATTTTCTCAGTGAAACACAAATTCGAAGAGAATTCAACGAATCTTCATGTGGATCTTTTCGATACAAGATTCTGATAAACTTCCCCAAAAAAGTGCAGTACATCATAAAATTAGGCCAGATGACTCACTGGTTGACGAGCACACTGAAAGCTACAACTTTCGTCTGTTTTTCACACTATTCTTTTTCATGATTTCAGACATCGGATTCTGCAAATCATCTGGCCTAGATTCTTCAAAATGTGGAACAAAAAAAGAGCCGGGAAAATAATGAAAACTGTTCAAAAACTTTCTTTTTCTTTGATTTTAGGGTTAATCATCATCCTTTATTCACCTTCAAGTTGTTCCAGACTTGTACAAGTTATTCACTGTGCAGTGGCAGGTCAACGATAACCTACAGACTCAACCTTCCACCTCACTACCGTATTTCACCTTCATTTCATGATTCCCACCTGAAACCCTTCACTGAACCTCTGTCTTCTTCCCCTACAGAACCAACCATGGACGAAGTACTTCCTCCTCCAGATGTCGCTGACAAGGACCTAGTGTACCAACTCCATACCATCCTCAACTCACAGTGGCGGGGCGGGCCCCTTAAGTACCTGATTTTGGGGGAATACGGTCCAGAAGAACGCTCATGGGTGTATCGGTATGACATCCTGGACCCGTTGCTTCACACCCAGTTCCACAAAGATCACCCTGACCGTCCACCCTGTCACCGCCAGGCGCCGGCCTTGGAGGAGGGGGTACTGTCACAGAGTCAGCCACACCGTCACAGCCCCAATCATCACAAGGACCCGTCCAAGCCCACAATATCACCAGAGTACTGACTTGCTGCAACTGCACTACCTCTTAAAACATCCTTTATATGCCCTGTTCACCTTTCACTCCTTGTCTGGTCTCGTTGCAGTATAAACTGCTTTATGTCAGACTCCTTACTAATTTACTCACCTGAGATCGTCTCGTCCTGTATCCAGTCTCCTGACCGTCTTCCGTCTGTCATCCTGATCCAGATCGCCTGTCTTCGTGTTCACTCGTCACCTGCACAGAGAATCCTCTTCAGTCATCGCCAGCTAAGTCACCATCCATCCGTTGCTCCACCACCACTCTGCTTTTAATAAACACTGTGCTGTGCACCTAAACCTGTCTGTCTCCACCTGTGTTTGAGACACCTGCAGACTATTTTTCCAGTTATGAATTCTATCATTGAGGATTTCTATAAAATATTGTGCAAAAATCTCATCTCAGTCTCGTCTCGTGAGATCCCATCACACTCACTGTAAAAAAAAAAAAAAAAAAAAAATCTTTTAATGATTAGTAATCACAACATTTTTTCTTTTGTCAAATCAACTTTTATAATTTATTTAGTTAAGAAAACATATAATTTTGAGTTTCTGATGATTAAATCATTCTCCTTCATTATATTAAGTCACTTTTTCCATTTCAATGAACTTAAAATTAAGGCAACCAGGTTACTTACTTTAAGTTAAACCAACAATATTTTTTTTTACAGTGAAGATTTAGGGATTCAGAAAACATAACTTAGAAAATTGTTTGTGACCAAATTATTCCACAGACAAATTACTTTAACTTCAACAGGATACTAGCCAGCAATCAAACTATCAGAGTTAGGTGTAAATAAAGATGATTGCAGGATTTAATCGCGGGGAGCAGTTTAGATTTAACAAAGAACTCAGGATACAAGTAACAACAACGGAACAAAATAAAAACATAAATGATGGACAATGAACTGAAAGAAACAGAGCTTAAATACACTGACCAAACTAATTAATGAAATGAACCACGTGTGCAAATTAATCAAACAATGAAAAACCATAGCAATGAGCTGAAACCTAGAACTAAAACACATGACAAAACCCACCCACACAGAAACAAACCCAAATGATAACTTACACAAACATAATTTAATTTTAGTTACTATGACAGCTTTACAAATGTTCTTTGACATGAACTCAGCAACATCCTAGCCCTTCTCAAACACACACACACACACACAACCTTAAGAATAGGCTCAACAGAGATGATATGTTGTCTCTAATAAGTTGTGATTTCTTTCTGCCCTTAGAAAACTGACCTTTCTCCCTTTTTCTTTTTTTGTATTTTATGTTTTTCTTCTCTGTTTTTCTATCAGATAAAGAGCAAAGGAGGGACAAAAGCAAGCAAGAAATGAAAAGAGTGAATTTGAGAGAAATTAATCTGAGAGTCCTCTCATTTTTGAGAAACCAAATCTACCAGATGAACCGCAACGGCCGAATCATACTCGTTCCCGTTGATAGATGGCAAGACTAGACTTTTAAATGTTTTTGATTAGTTCTGTGGTGTATGGACTCATTTCTTTGTCTATTTTCATTATTGTTATTTTAAGCCATCAAGATGGAATTTGTTTAATGTAGTTGCTCATTAGTTGGGTAATTATGCTTGTTTAATCTTGGAGCTGATTGGCCCCCTAACCCCTCACTTCCTGCCAGCATTTAAATACCTCACCTGTCAATCAATTAATCTATTTTGAGAGCTAATGACAGTGTAATTACCATAATTAACCTAGAGAGAGAGAGAGAGAGAGAGAGAGAGAGAGAGAGAGAGAGAGAGAGAGAGAGAGAGAGAGAGAGAAAGAAAATGTCAGAAATAAAGAAACGGGAGATTTGGAGAAAGACATCTGTACACTGATCCTCCATGATCCTTTCTGAGCCATGCTTGACTCTCTGGAAGGTGCATTTTCATTGGCTAGTGAATGCAGCATCACTGCATAATCTATAGTCGGTGCTAATCACGGTCATTACATTCCCTTTCTTCACTTGTCTTGAAGCACAAGTAGCTCCCTATTGATTTTCACAGGAGCCTGTCACCTTAATACTTGATGGTGAACTTGTTTTTTGTTCCTGTGCCATTGAGCACACAAAGCTATTGTTCACCAGTGACATATCACATATAAAGGCTTTCAATTGGTTTTGTGAACATCCAACATTCCCCTTCTGCATTCTAGGTGGGTCTATTCCCAAATCTGATATGAATTCTTTCAAGCTTAATGCTGCTGGCTAAAAGCCTGACATTGAGAGGGTATGCTTGGTGTGCTCTTAGGGAACATTGTGTGAAGGGCCTGTGTGTGCGTGTGTGTGTGTGTTCATGCAGAGCCACTGGGACTGTCCTGCTGTTGGACACGAGCAATGAAATCCCTACTCAATTATACCAGTACAGCCTCCGGACACAAGGACACATATACACACATGCCACAGCCATATTGCATTAACCCTTATCAGACCCCATCCTCTCTAATATTAACCATTCAGTGCTCACTTTCAGTTCATAAATGCCTCCAGGCCAAACCACCGTCCCACTGTCCCACTGACATTAAAACTGCCACCACTCTGATCACACACAATCACAGAACACCTAAATGAGGATATACACTACACTGTAAAAATGAATAATTTATCTAATCAATAAAATTGTGGCAACAGATTACAAGCAATATTATTTATTAAATTGAACAAATTAGAATCGAGTAATTGTTAATCAAATTAATATTCTAATTAATTCTAATTTGTACAGTTTAATTAACAATATTGCTTGTAATATGTTGCCACAATTGTATTGTTTAGATAAATTATTCATTTTTACAGTGTAGTGTATATCCTCATTTAGGTGTTCTGTGATTGTGTGTGATCAGAGTGGTGGCAGTTTTAATGTCAGTGGGACAGTGGGACGGTGGTTTGGCCTGGAGGCATTTATGAACTGAAAGTGAGCACTGAATGGTTAATATTAGAGAGGATGGGGTCTGATAAGGGTTAATGCAATATGGCTGTGGCATGTGTGTATATGTGTCCTATGTGTCCTTAAAAAAATAGAGTTGGTAGGATTTTTTTACTGTTTTTTAAAAGAAGTCTCTTATGCTCACAGCAGTTAAAATACAGTGAAAATAATACTCTGAGTATTATTACAATGTCAAATAATCTTTTTTTAATGTGAATACATTTTACAATATATTCACAAATATATCTGTCTTCAGTGTAACATTTCTTTCAGAAATCATCACAATATGCTGATTCGGTGATTAAGAAACATTTCTTACAATTATCAACGTTGAAAACAGTTTAATAGTTAATAGCCGCTTCATATTTTTGTGATAAGAGTTATGATGAAAGGAAAGTTCAAAAGAACAGCACTTATTTTATATATATATATATATATATGAGCAATGAAATCGTGTATATATATATATATATATATATATATATATATGAAGAGTTCAGATGCAAAAGCCTCTAAATGCCATTTGAAATTTTCTTCTTTAATGATGATTTATCAAACTTGTATATTTAAGTTCAGTAATTTCACTTAAATGGCAATGATAATTACCTATTAATTGTTATTTAAGTGAAATTACTGAACATAAATATACAACTTTGATAAAAATCATCATTAAAGATGAAAATTTCAAATGGCATTTAGAGGCTTTTGCATCTGAACTCTTCATATATATATACACACCGATTTTCTTAATATTATGCTATTAAGAAAAAATCGGTTTAGCAGAATGACAATGAAAACAGCCTGCAAATTTAATTTGTTTTCATTGTCATTCTGCTAAACCAATTTTCTTAATAGCATAATAGTGATTGAAAATAATGAAATTGAAAATAACAAGGATTTAAAGTGTAGCTTAACTGGATTTTCTTTTTTTGTGTGTGCTAAAAATACTGAGTGTAAAAGTTGTGGCACAACTAAACAAAACACTAAACATTAAGGCACACTTTGTTAAGGATCACAGATAGATTCAAAACTTGTCCTCCTGCCCAACACATACTGTATTGCCACTGTTGTAAATATTACAGTTCTTTGCCAAAAGGAACAACAAGCAGAGTCCTGCTCAAACGAACATGAACAGACTGCAATTTTAATGTTGCCAAAAGCATGTTCGGTTGAATCAACAATAACCTGCTCAGAGACACAAACTCACACACACACACACACACACACACACACAGATGTGATTACAATTCAGTTATCAATTATTAAACCCTCATATATGCTTATGTATAACCATAACAATCACTTTTGATCCACTGTGGTCATGCAGTGTCCTCATTGTCCTTTATTTAGTAAAAAAAAAAAAAAAAAAAAGAAAAAAAAAATGTAAATCTTATTTCGAATTAAATGCACTCTACACAGTCTCTGGTCTTTCTGCTTTAACCATCTGACAGACAGAAATCGTGCTGAAAACTTCAACTAGGATGAGAAGGTCAGAGATCTGTAATGGCCTCCAGGGAAAAATGTCTAAAGAGATCAGAAAACTCACCACCCTGCCCTCACCCTCTCTGACTGTTTCCAAGAAAATGGTTTCGCTTCTCATTTGCATCAGTTTTGATGAGATGAATGTTAGAACAAAACATCCATAAAAGAGAGAAAGAGAAAGGGTGATTGCAAAAGAGCTCACATCTGTAGAGGTTATGCTAAATGAAGGTTAAATTGGTTTCGCTTGTCATAGCGCATAAACAGCTGAGGATCCACTGCAGGGCACTTAGAAACTCCCAAACCACACACAGCAGATTGAATTTCATTGTTTTAATATCTAATCAACTCTACACAGATATTTCTATACAGATGCTGCATATTCATCATCCTAATCATCATTACACAGAGCAAATGTGTGTATACAAACACCCAGCATGCCCATCTGTGAATGAACCCTTATGAAAGCCCAGCTGCGTAGAGAGGCGGAGATGGGGGCATTTCTTTGGAAAAGCTTTCAAAATTTCCCAAATCCAGACACATCCATTAACGACAGAATCCGGTTTCTCCCGTCATGCGATCTAGCTTTGACGGCACATTATTTTAGGCATCATCTTCAATGAGAAATATCATTCATCTCGCAGCGTTCAGAATATTGTCCATCAAAACATCTCCGGAGTCATCAGATGTTTTGTCGAGCTTAAGCATTCAGGGCTTTGTCTCAAGGTCGGTGTGTGTGAGGGTGCATAATCACTGTTCCTAAGTGCCCTAGAGAGGGATGTCAGCTCTAA